TGCAAACTACTTTTTCTTTACGTGGTAGTCTCGTTTCGTGTGTTTTACTTTTTCTTTGTCAAGTTTTTATAGGAAAATTTGCAATCCAAAGTACAGTACACTAGTATTTTAATACCAGAAAGGGGAGAGAAACTTGGATGCCTAAAGGTGAAGGTTAATTCTTAAATTTTGTATAACTCTTCTGTAGACACTATATTTCGGTTGTTCAAATTATTTTGAATTGTATCAGGGGAAAATTCTAAGTTGGAAGAAGAAAATTTTGTCATGCTCAAGGCAAAGAAAAAAGTCGGTGTTCGAGGCATATATATTGTGATTAACAAGGCTTATGTAAAGTTTGGATTCTTGATTAGGAGTGTACTGGTTCTTTTCCTAATTAACCACACAAGGATGATAAAGTCAATGAGCCATAATTATTTGTTTGCTAGAAAATCTATTTGTAAATGCTATAATGTTTTCAATTTCTGCTGACTAATGCTTTGATGTTCTTTTTAACCTCTTCAGGCAGCTTGGAACTATTGTAGAGTTGGCAACTTTTGCATTTCTACAACTTCTTTCTTTAGCATGTACAACCACTGTGGCCAAGGTTATATACTCTTTTTATTACATGTGACACGGTTTTGCTTCTTGAGGAAAGTGTCTTTGTGGAAATCATTTCTCTACTCCTAGAGAAGAGGGATGTTGTGAAAAGGGGAAAAGGTCTTCCTTTGAACAAAAAATATATAGGTGCATCTCTTGTGTCTTAGGAAATCGCTTCATTTTATTCTCCTACATAAGATGTTCTTGAATCATTATTGTATATGTTTCAATTGTAGGTTGTTGCTCTCCATTGTTGCGTAGATACTGATGAGTTGATATGTCTTACTCGACGACATACACACGGGAGTTTGATTGACGATCGTTCAAAGGAGATATATGTAATAATCTTTTATTTTGTATTTAATTACGTTTACATGTACTACGTATTTTCAAAGATATACAATTCTACACAATGGTACTGTATAATTGTGGAATGTTCATGACTTATGCCTTATGGTATTGTATAATTGTTGAATGTTATGTTCCGATTCTCTTATGAGTGTGTTTGTATATAATATTTGGAATAATATTTTTTTTTATAAATAAAATAGAACTAGAGGCGGAATATTTCCCCTCTATTATAGTGGCAGAGAAATCCTCCTCTAATTTTAGAGGCGAATAAGTCCGCCTCTAATTTAGAGGCGGACATTTCTGCCTCTAAATTAGAGGCGGAATTTTTCGCCTCTAGAATTAGCAGCAGCGTGTTTAGCGGCAAAAGAACTTCCGCCTCTAGGTCCCCGCTAAATTTCTATTAGCGGCGGAATTTGTATGATTAGAGGCGGAGTTTTCCCCCTCTTTTCACAATTATTTTTGTAGTGTGACTAATGTACTTGAGGCACGAATGGAAAGAATAAATGCAGGCATTCAAACATTGAGAGATGTGATTCGATGAAGGATGGATATTATTATTATGAGAAATCAATTGAAGTTACTTATAAAAATTTCATGATTGCTTAAAAACACCTTAAGGTTATAAAAGGACAAGTTGACATAGCTGAAAGGGGGCTCTAAATTCTCCAACAAAGCAAGCCTCAACAATACACTAAAAAAGTCGTGTATTCTGAGCTGAAACATTTCGATGTTATGAGTGAGATTCGAATGACGTGCAATCGTTTCTTGTGTAGATATGAGAGAGCTATGGGAGAATATTTTTGTATTCTTACTAAAGACCGTCTTGAAATTTTATGTAACTTGATGGAAGAGGCTGGTATGGTTTAGGATATGATATACTACCTCCGTCCCAGAGTATTTGTCCACTTTCATTTTTACAAATCATCCAATACTCTTCTTTAATCTATTTTATCTTGTAAAATTTGTATATTAAAACATTATTGAAATTATATATTAATAATCTATATGTTAAAACAAATCAAATAAGATCACACATGACTATATTTAGGCTTACACATTGAGAGAATTTGATGAGTCAAAGTGCTTAGATGAACAGTTCTAAAAGTCAAAACTGGACGAATACTCCGAGACGGAGGGAGTATGTTTTAAGTATTTGCTCAATTATTTTGTAATGACTTTTGGGCATACGAATGACTTTATCTTTGATGTTTTGTTTTGCCCTTAAGCATATGATTCATGCATTTATCTTTATGATATGAGTTTTTAGTTTACGGTATACTCTCTTTGTCTATTCAAATCTTTTTTTATTTTTTGGTCATATTTTAAAAAAAGTTGCCTACTCTGTTTCAATTATGCATAAATTTTAAATTTTTGAGTTAGTTAAATTACTTAAAATAATATTTACTTAATTAACTAATTTGAAAATAAAATACCAGTACTTTTTTGTATTTTTTATTATTAACAAATTATATGACAAATTATTTTTTTAAATGTCTAAAGTAAAACAAATCTACAGAAATATCTACTCTTCCTAAAATGTTCTTCCCGTTTATGCTTAGAAGATTTGATCGATTTTATTTTCCATCCAATTTATTTGATTGTAGGTGTAAATTTAGAAATAGAATTATTATATTTAAAAATTAGATTAAAAGTTTTATAAAACAAGAGGCGACAAGACTAAATTATTTTATTAAATATTTAACAAAAATAAGTAAAGAAAGTAATTAAAATTTGACCAGACGAATACTTCCGAATTTCTACCTAATTTTTTCCAAGCAAACAAAGAAAGTTACGGAGTAATTTCCTCTCCATCTTCTTCTTTCTATATCTTTCATTTCTTTACCAAACATACACCAATATTGAATTGAGACCAATTCTCAGCTAGTATTCAAAAAAAAAAAAAAAAAAAAAAGGACCGCTCGACTTGTCCCTCTCTGGAGTCCAGACAAGCAGAGCCTGCTACCGAATATCCAGTGGAATTAAAGCTACATTTGGAGGGGTTAACCAAATCTCCCCACCCTTTCGCCAAGCGGCGGCGAGTCTCTCACCCTTTCCAAAACTCACCAACTCTTGTATGGCATAAACCCTCATTATCTTCTTCTTCTTTCTTCTTTCTTCTTCTTCTTCATCCCATTCCTTCCTTATTAATAACTCCTATTCCACCTTCAAAAATAAAAATCCCATTCCATTTTCGAAGCATCATATGATCCGGGTTGAAATGGAAACCCTAACTCTGTCTCACCTTCCGCTCACCTCCGCCGCCCGCCGCCGCAGCACTACCACCTCCAGATCCTCTGTTTCACTCTCCGCCTCATCGTCTGCCAACCGCTCCCGGGTTATAAAGTGCGCCGCAATCTCTCCGCCTCCGTCTATGGGTACTGTTTATATGCATTTTTTTTGTTGTTTTTGTTTCAATTTTATGATCTGTTCTTCTGTTGATATGAACTGTTGGCGGCGGGGGATTTTCAGTTTGTCAATGGGAGGAGTTCAAGGAAGCTGCGCAGCTCGGGAATTTGATTCCTCTCTTTACGTCGATTTTCTCTGATCATTTGACTCCTGTGCTTGCTTACCGCTGTTTGGTGAAAGAAGATGACAGGGATGCGCCCAGCTTCTTGTTTGAGTCCGTCGAACCCGGGGCTCTTAATGTTTCATCCGTCGTATGTTTTATTTCCCTATAATCTCTTTTTTGGTTATTCAAAATCCACTCGGATTACAGCAGACAAGATGAAGTTTCTAAAATGCTCAAAAATGAAAAATGAAAAAAATTGAACCACAACATGGTGAATATTATGTTAGGGGAGGTACAGTGTCATTGGTGCTCAGCCGACTATGGAGATTGTTGCGAAAGAGAATATGGTGACTATTATGGACCACCACGAAGGAAAAAGGACGGAAGAATATGCAGAAGATCCGATGGAGATTCCCCGTAAGATTAGTGAAAAGTGGAGACCTCAACGCCTTGATGAGCTCCCTGAGGCATTTTGTGGTAAAACATTGCCTCTGTGCTTCTTTGCATGAATTTATGGTGCTAACTCATTTCATACAATTTTTTAACCCTAAACTTAATGTCACCTACCCTCACCTACTCCGGTAGTTGGGTTTAAGGTGTTGACAATATTGATAATGATAATTCCATTGCATTGTGTACTTAGAAGATTACTTGTATTCCGCGCCATATAATAGTGGAAACATAGTTAAGAGTTTAGCTTATAGTTAATACAAGACTTTATCTACACCTTACATCATGCCTGACTCCGGAGCTCAACTCTTTCCCCACGTGAACCATCGTATATTAGCATCTGACTGCCCTAAATGCCGGGCATGCCGCTGCAAATTGGCTCCGGACCTGTCAGCAGCAAAATTATTGTTTGTGGAGATTTACGGATTTTTGACATTGTGTTTCTTTTCTCATGCAGGTGGTTGGGTTGGCTTCTTCTCTTATGATACAGTTCGTTATGTTGAGAAGAAGAAACTTCCTTTCTCAAAAGCCCCTTTTGATGATAGAGACCTTCCGGACCTTCATATAGGACTTTATGATGATATAATTGTTTTTGATAGTGTGGAAAAGGTGATGTTCTGTTCCGTAAAGGTTTAATTTATTTCCACAGATATATTATTTATGATTTATATCTATCTTTTAAGTTTTAATACTAACAACTGTCTTTTTGGAGATACAGTTTATCTTTTGAAATGGATGTCTCACTTAATCCTGCTAATTTTTCCTGATTGTATGTCCCCCATTTAAATTACCCTGCTAGATTTTTCGATAAAATAGTTCAATACTTATTGATAATGGATTTTCAACTACAGCATTTGTTCAAAAAAATATCAACTTTGCTAGATGAGTTGTTATTAAAGCTATTAGTGTGTGATACTGTGTCTATTGTTTTTGAATCAGACAGCACATGTTATTCATTGGGTGCAGTTGGATCGCTTTTCCTCAGTTGAGGAGGCCTTTAGTGATGGAATGAACAGATTAGAATCTCTAATGTCTAGGGTGCATGACATAGTGCCGTAAGTAGTTCTTTTTTTCCTTTCAAAATGCCATGTAGTTTTTTCCATTTGATTAAGAATATTTGCCATGCTATTTGCAGTCCTAGGTTGTCTGCGGGATCAGTCAACTTATGTACAAGCCTCTTTGGTTCACCATTGAAGAACTCAACAATGACAAGCAAAGAATATCAAGAGGCTGTTTTAAAAGCCAAGGAGCACATACTTGCAGGGGACAT